TACAATGTAATTATCTTGAAAAGTGGAGATTACATAAAACATCTTAAAGTTAAAACAATATATTTTAATTTCATAACAACTTCAATTTAATACAAAAACTATTATATTTTCCAGTTTTTTTATTGATGTTAAAAACTGTATTATTTTTTATTGGGTATCGACAGATTTATGCAGATTTATTTTTAGTTTCTCTTTATATAGAATAACTTTAAAGGTTTTATGCTCCATCATTATGAGAGTAAAGAATTCTATATGTGTGTGTATATTGACATTTAATAGCTTTATATTTAAATATAGTTTTATGATGCTGTCCACCATCATTTTTTTTTTCTTCAAAATAATGTAGTCATTTTAGCATTTCTGTGTGTTTATATGCAGAGTCTCACTATGTTGCTCAGGCTGATCTTGAAATCCTGGTCTCAAGTTATCTTACTGCCTTGGCCTCCTAAAGATATAGGATTACAGGCATAATCCACTTTGCCAGGTCACTATGTAGCCCTTCATGTAGAACTGTGCTAGTCATAATGAATCATAACACTGTCACCTTTTATTTTGAAAAGTCTTTATTTTTATCTGTTTTTAAAGTAAACTAATCTTGAATCAAGTATTATTGGTTAGGAATTTTATTGCTACATCAAAATTTGGGAAGTTCTCAGGCTTTTTTGTCTACAAGTAACCTCTACATTACTTTTTCCCTACATTCTTCTTCTAAGAGTTTTTAAATGAATTTATTGATGTACTTGATGGTGTCCAATAAGTTTTACATTTCATGTTTTAATTTTCTTTTGGAATTTTATATTTTTGTGTTACATATTTTAGGATATGCCACCTCAAACGAGTTAATTGTTTTGGTTTTTTAGTTTATATTATAATTGAGTATGCCAATATTTAACTCTGTAAAATTTAAGACAGTGTCGAACAAAGTCAAATATGAATCAGCCATATGTCTACTACCAATATAACAATCTCTGTGTTTACCCGTATAAATATTTTCCCTGTTCTTTTTATATTTCTGGTATAGGTTTGTTGTGAATGGTTATTTAATCTTGTCTAGGTGAGCAGTCATAGAAATTCTCCTAGTTTCAACATGTATTTATTCATGAATCTGTATTATTTTTGTATGGGAGAAAAACTTTTCTATTTAAAGATAATGTAGAAACTGTCATAACTCTGTGTCTCTTTTAGGTATTGTCTATTTTTACTTGTCAAAAACATATAACATTTACAATAGAATATTTTTAAATATTTATTTTAGTCCTATTATATTGACATTGTTATGCAACATATTCCTAGAATGTTTTTATCTTGCAAAGCTAAATATCAATACCCATTAAAAAACTATGAATTTTACCCATTTCCTGGCACTTTTCAAACACCACTCTGTTTTCTCTAAGAGTGTAACTGCTTCGTATATCTCATACAATCTCTCTTTTTGTGACTGGCTCATTTTATTTTGCACAATGTCATCAAGCTTTATAGTTGTTAGAATATTTTGTGCTTTTTAA